GGGGCGCCGCGCGTGCAGCTGCCCCTCCTCTTCCTTGCCTCCAAGATGACTCAATTAGTCGTCTGCCGAGGCCCAAACTTTTCCCCCAGAATAATAAAACCCTGCTTAGAAAAGCAATGTTTTGGATATTGCGATTTGACCTGTTAGTCCTTCATGATTTTAAATGTGGACTTAGAGTACATCAATCAACTTTAAAACTTGAGTTTTCACACATCCCTTAAATCTCTTGAGATAAGGAAGTCCTTGATAGACAGTGAAAAAAATGGAATAGTAGAAGGTTCTGTCTCCTACATTGTAAACTATCACCTGCCAAACAACATTTTAGTTGCCTCTTATTAGAATATTTTTAGAATCCCTGCTGGTTGATTTCAAAGTTGTATTGTAAGTCTTATTCTGAACTTGTATAAGTTTATTTAGCTTAATATGCATTTTAATGGTTAATTATTTTTTAAATTTAAATTTGAAGTACATTTTAAATTGAGACAATTTACATGTAATTTGACATAAATAAATGTACATAGAATTGATTTTATAAACTGTAACTTGTCTCTTGTTATAATTACTATCTACCTATGTATTATCCCTTTTTCTTCTAACAACCCCCCAAAAAGGTCTTAAAATATTTCCAAGCTGAAACATGTTGGGCTGTTTTCAAGACTAAAATCATCTCTCTTTTTTTTTTTCCAACACCCTGAGGGTTTGTCTCTTTCCCGCATCACATCTATTGAGTTCAACTACACCTCTTTGTCTACTATAAAGTTGTTGTTGTTGTTGTTGTTGTGTACTTTGAAGCCATTTCTGGCTTATTGCCACTCCAAGACAAACCTATCATGGAGTTTTCTTGGCAAGATTTGCTCAGAGAAGGTTTGCCATTGCCTTCCCCTCAGGATGAGAGAGTGTGACCTGCTCAAGGTCACCCAGTGGGTTTCCATGGCCAAGCTGGGAATTGAACCCTGCTCTCCAGAGTCATAGTCCAGCTCAAACCATTACAACACACTGGCTCTGTAAAGTTGCCAAGTCCTAAAACAGCATTTGCCAACATTGGGCCCTCCAGATGTGCCAGATTACAACTCCCAGCATTGCCACCCATTGTGGACAGAAGTCTTGGGGACAATGGGATTTGTAGTCCAAAATAACTGAACCTATCTGGTTGGCTGAAACTAGAAGTAAAGGTTTCACAGATTCAGAATACAATGTCTGTTCATGAGCTCATCCATTGAAGATGAAAGGATCAGAAATAAATGGGTCCTCGGAAAGTTCCTGTCAAAAGGAACCTTCATGTCTCGTATTTTCAGAAGATAAATGACATAAGCAATATAATAAAATGCATATGAAATACCCTTGGAGATTTTTTGTTTGTTTGTTTGTTTCTCTTTCTACTGACTCTGAGCTGAAATATTTGCATAGGTCACTTTCCTTATTAGCAAAGGCAGACTGAGCAAAATGCCTTCACATCCCTCTTCATTTCTAGTATGGTACTTCCTTCAACTTTACCAGCAAAGCATTAGAGGGAGAAAATGTATCGGTACAAGGATGGGAAAATTCCCTAGAACACTCTAGTATTAATCTAACTCTCATTATTACTATTACTATTCATACTATTTTTCAATAAATTCTGCTTTGATTTTCCCATAGTTATCACATGATGGTTGCCTTCACATGTGTCCCACACGGCTTGTTAAATCGTGAATTCTTATTTCAAGTTAGTTTCTCATGCTGTACTAAAGTAGCACCATCCTACCGATGCTAATACTAGTGCAAATAAAAATGTTTGTCCAATGTTCCATTGGAACAAATGAGAAATGCTATCACACCCATATGAATGTTCAATTTTCATTGCAGAGGGACTTGAGGAAGGAACTTCCTAGCGAATCATTCCAAAAATAGGTTCCTGGAGACTATTTCTGTTTCATTTAGGTGAAATGACTCAAGGAGATGTAGGACAAGGATCATCCTTGATTTAGGTTCTTATATTTCATTATTTCACTTTTTATCCACTTCCATTTTTAGCTCTGTACTGCCATCACATGGCCAACTTAAATTCATAACCCCCCTTTTTAAATTTGACTGAATATAAGCAATATTTTTTTAAAAAAATATTATATAATTAAAATAATATATACAATACATTATATTACTACTATCATTCTATTTACAATACATACAGCCTTCATCTAGTTCTTCCACAATGAGTACCTACATTTATTCAATTGTTCTTTAAGTTTCTATCTTAAATGTCATAGAATCATAGAATCATAGAATCATAGAGTTGGAAGAGACCACAAGGGCCATCCAGTCCAACCCCCCTGCCATGCAGGAACTCCCAATCAAAGCATCCCTGACAGATGGCCATCCAGCCTCTGCTTAAAGACCTCCAAGGAAGGAGACTCCACTACATCTTACAATTCTTACTAATAAACTATATATGTTATCCTCCTTCTTGATATCTTAGCTTATTTACATCCAATTATCTTTGATATAATTCTCTATTGGAGCCCATTCTTCATTAATTAAATCCAAGTCTTTATTATTGAGTATTTTTGTTAATTTGTCCATCTCTTTTACTTCTACCAATTTCAAAATCCATTCGTCTACAGTAGGTATGTCTTGTTTCTTCCATTTTTGTGCTACTACAATTCTAGCTGCTGTTACCATATAAAGGAGACTCCTCCAGTATTTTCTCTCAATTTCTTGGTCCAAACTATTTAATATATTTAGTAAGTATATTTCCGGGCGTGAATATAAGCAATAATTTTAAAAGTACAGTGGGTCCTTGGTATCCGCTGGAGTTTGGTTCCAGGAACCCCCATGGATACCAAAATCCATGGATGCTCAACTCCTGTTATTTATAAAATATGTAGTAAAATGGTATAGTAAAATTATGTCCTTTATATAAAATGGCAAAATCAAGGTTTGTTTTTTGGATTTATTTATTTATTTATTTAGAAATATATTGAAGCAGTGGTTGGTTGAATCCATGGGTGTAAAGGGCCAACAGGAGTAGTTGTTGTACTATTACTATTATCATTATTATTGTTGTACTGCTGTAACTGATACTAAGAGGATAGAACCTTGCTCCATTGAGTTTATAATTCATCATCTAACAGATTCTTACTTAGTCTTTTAAAATGTTAATTTAAAATAAATTAAAATTGGTTTCCATTTATTGAGTCGTGCACCACTAATTTAAGAATATGTGCTGTACATCCACATTTTGAAATCATTTGGTTTAGCAAACTTTGATACTTTTGTACTTAAAGTGTGCCTTTTAAAAAAATAATTTGCAGATAACCCTGTATCTTGGAATTATATGTCTATACAAATATATTTTCGAGTGAACAAAATCAAATAAAACCCTTAGCAGGATTAAACACAATTATTTTAGACAGAAACAACTTCCATACTGCCAGAAAGGGATTAGATATTCTGTCAGAGTGGTTAAAATGGCCATGTTCAGGTGCCGTATCAGAAAGGTATTGAACAAGAATCTGAGTACTCCAAGTAACAATGTTTTCTGTAACATATCACTTCTGGTACCCTTAAGTTAATAACATTATTCATTTTTAACGTAATATAATAGCATGTTGTTATCATTCTCACTGTAATGAAAAAATTTAATTTGTTACTTAAACAAAATAATTCTGGTGTCATTTTGGGATACTGACAAAATAATCATGTCAGTATACAGGATCTTCTGTAAGAAATGAATCACCTGAGGTCCTTGAAAATAAAGCCAGTGACATCATTTACATAAGGAGAAGCTGGAGCTCAGTGATACAGCACATCCGCTTCCAACTTCTGAGACATGGTCATGAAGCAAGTTAAGTGAGCTGGGCTGCACACGGACTGTATTCGGATGGCGGATTTGGCAACAAAAGCCATGCGATAGGACCCAGATACAGCCCGAATTTTACTTGAATTTGGGAGAGATAAGTGACGTTTTTATGCTTGTGCAATAATCTCCATAGACACAGATGTAATCCCAGCTTCAATCCCTAGCATTTCTACTGTACAGATCTAATTGCTTGTTATTCACAAGGGTTGCCAATTCAGGATCATCCCAGGCCCTGAGATTTCTAAAACCTGAGACCTAGAAACAATCCCTGGTGATGCCTTATCCATTAAGTACCATCTACAGTTGCTCACAGTTTGTCCTTCAAACACACATAGAGAGAGAAATGTAAAGGTGCTGCTCTCAGATCAAGGTGAAATGAGAGGATTATTCCTTCTCACATACTTTGGGAAATGGGATAACGAATATTTAACCTAGCCTACTTGCTCCTTGCAGAAGGTGGGGGGTGCAAAGCAGAGCAGAGGGTGAGATCTGGCACCACCACAACTGGAATGGAAGGAGCAGCCTTGCAGATTGGAGAAAGCAGCCACACTACTGGCTGAGTTGGAGATTTGCACACAGCCTTTTCCTCTTGCCTGGAGCTGAACCCCGCAAAACTGGGGAATTTGCTCTCATTTCCTTCCTGAAGATGACACATAAAAACTGCAGAGTTAAGGCCAGGTCCCGGGAAATGACAGACCCATTACACATCCTGGTTCATCAAGAAAACAGATCAGTGTCATGGCTCTCCCCCCTCCACCATCACCTGCTTCACATGGACCGTGCCATTTCTTCAGATGTTCCTGTTGACATGGAGACTTGTCACTAGAATAATAACTCTGGAAAATTGGGTATCTTGCTTGTGTGGAAAACCTCCAACAGAACAGCAGCCTCACATATTGCTTTTCATGCGAGGAAAGCAACAACAGAAGCTTAGTGCTCCTGTGCTCACGTAATGAAGAGACCAGCGTGACTAACAGTGAACAAGGTTTTAGGAGGACAGGAAGGTTTCTTGCATGAGGCCATGGAGACCGGCTGCCAATCAATATAGGTAATATTGATCTGGATCAAGGATGGACAAGTTTGGATGGTCTAGAAACAAATCACACTCTCTTGGCCTCAGAAGATGGCAATGGCAAATCCCTTCTGAAGAAACTTGCCGAGAAAACCCAATAGGGCCACCATGAGTCAGAAATGACTTATCTCTCTACATACTGATTCTACAGACTAACATGGCTATATCTTTGAATTCTATAACTCAGAAAGAGCTTTCTACAGGACTGTCCATGCTGACTGAGGGATTTTAGGACTTGTAGCTCAAAATGTAGTTTTTCCAATCTCTGTCTCTAGTGAAATAATATTTTATCTAACACGTACCTGAAAACTTCCTCTATGTGGTCACATGACTATGTCATTCATAAATACCTAATTTCTCAAGCACTGTACTGGTGTTCCTCCAGGTGGCATATATGTGCCTAACAGTGAACACAGATATAATAATCTTCAACCACAGGATTAGATTGGTGTGTGGATGTATCCATCCCCAGTTTTTCTACCCATTTTTTTCCTGCTTTTTTCTGGCTTTTTTCCAAGCCATCACATCTCTAGTTCTGATATATCTTTCCTTCTCACATTTTTAATGTATAAGAGGGGGAATGGGATGGAGAAAGAGGAGGGAGATAAACAAAGTCTTTTAAAACAGTGGTTCTCAAATTTTCCTGGCCAAATTTCTGCTACAGGCAGCAATTTATCATTTATTGTTTTCTTACTGGATTTAGAGACCACTTTTCTCCAAAAGGAAGGGCACTCAGATTGGCTATTGGCTAACAGTACAAAATGAGACACAATGATAAAAATCACAGGAGGCAGTTGTTGTTGTGTGCCTACAAGTTGTTTCTGACTTGTGTTAATCCTAAGGCAAACCTATCACAGGGTTTTCTGGGGCTGAGAACCTGTGACTTGCCCAAGGGTAAACCAGTGGGTTTCCATGGCTAAGCAGGGAATCAATCCCTGATTTCCAGAGTCCTAGGGCCTTTGCAGACTGCCAGAAATAGTGCAAATTGAGTCCACTTTAAAGGTTAGGGTTAGGGTTAGGGAATCATGGGAATTCTTTTTTTTTTTCCTGAGACATTGAGCCTTTTCTGCCACAGAGCTCTGGTGCCACAATAA